CCCCAAAACCCCAAAACCCCAAAACCCCTTTACTATTATAATAAATTGAAAATTTCCAATGGAGATATTGCAGCCCAATCTGAAAGAGAGACTTGAAAGGGAAATCAACAAGGATGCTAAATCTAGGTTCACTTGGGTCCAATTCCACGCTGTAGGCTCTACATCTGAGATGGAAGGCACCTCTCTTGAAGAGCTTGAACTCAATAATTTCGAACCGAGTGAGAGGTCTTGGGAATGAGGGCTCTATAGTGAGTTCCCACAAGAAGTCTGAATCAGACTTAATTTCAGAGCCGAAATTGCCCATGTTATTCTAATGGCAAAGGAGGACCGTTTCATTCCTGAATGTGAGATTCATATAGGTGATGGTATCTCTGGTTCATTTGTTGATGCGGAGTACAGAATAGGTGGAGTCGGTGAACAAATTACTAATACTCCTAATCAAATCAATACTTTTGGAATTGGGAGTTATATCAAGATTGTATTTACTAGACAACCATCAAAGACCATCAAAAATCCTGGAGGCCAAGTCGGGCTTTCCCTCCTACGTGTCTGGGGTCAGCCTCTTGGCTACAACAAGGGTCTTACCAACGAAGCGCATCCTCTTCAAGGTCAGACTGAGACTGTCGATAAGGTACTAATTGAGATGGGAATTCCTCTGAACAACATAAAATGGACAAATGAAGATCCTGAGAACTACAGTTACGCACCAGTGGATGAAGACACTCGAGTAACACTAATAGACATGGAGAAACTTAAAGACAAGGCTCATCAGACTGAAGACTATGAGATGCTCCATCAGTTAACCAGAGATTTAAAAATAGTCTATGACCTAGGAAACGAAATCCTAAACCTTAAAAGAGACCTTGAGTTTGCCTCTGCAAAGGAAGATTTCAACAAAGCAATAGAAATCAGAAACCGGTTAAAGCAGCTTGAGCAAGAGAGAGATAGGTATGATGCCCTCTACGAGACTTCACGGTATGAAGACATGATCGTCATGGCTAGGCCCACCAGTGCTCAGAGAAGGCTTGCCAAGAAGCTTGAAGACGAAGAAAGAGCCAGACTCGAAGCCCTCAGAAGACAGAAAGAAAGAGAAGCTGAAGAAGAGCGCCTCAGAAGACTTAGGGAGGAAGAAGAAAAAGAACGTCTTAGGAAGGAAGAAGAGGATAGGAAGAGACGCCAAAATACAACGATGAAGACCGTGAAGAAAACAAGGTTCAACACAGTTAAGCAAACTAAAACCGTGGAAGTCGCAAGAGATCCTCTTGAATATAACGAGGGAGATGACGATATTGATCCATATTTGAACCCGAAGTTGATAGAAGCAGGAGGTAAAGTCATTGACCTAGAAAATTCTGTACTCAAAAGAGCCCTCCATAGCGGAACACTTCTGGTAACGGGAGTAAAGCTCTGGAGTGCACTTCATAGTGAGTCCTGGAGACATAGAGATGCTGCAACCCGAGCATTTCTTGAATATATTCAAGCTCCGATGAAGCCAAAATATTTTGGAAAGACAAAGAAATTGTTCAGAGCTGCTATTGATGTTGCAAGAGAAGCTTGCCTAGACAAGTTACCACAGATTTATCATACAGGATTAGATATTCTGAAAACAGCGCTGAACGAGCCTATATGTGGAGAAGACGTTAAGCCAAAGGAAATCAATTTAGCTATTAAATCATTCGTACCAAATCTGATCCAGAAAATCAGTGAGCTGAATTACAAAGTAAAGGATCAATCAATGATCGCTTTGGTAAAACTCTTCGAGCAGCATCATGCTAATATTGGAATTCTGATTGATAACCTTATGGACATCACAGAGAAAGATCCTCTTCCTGACAAAGCGCCATGGAGAATCATCCGAGCAAGACTTGACATCCTCGAAATTCTCCTTCAAGAATTTGGAATTAACGAAGACGTCTGGGACTGGGCTATTGTGTATGAAAAGTTAGTGATTCCTTCCTTCTTCAATCAGAGCAGAGATGTCAGAGAATCTGCTAAGGCAGTAGCAACAGAACTTTATAGAATTATTGGAAAGCCTATCAGAGATATCACAAATGAAGTGACAAATATGAAACCAAGTCTTTTAACTTCTCTCAATCAAAACTTTGATGCTGAAGATGATCTTAAAGGAGGAAAATACTATCAAGGCAGCGATTTGAATCAAATAGCAGAAGTTGATGAGGTACCTGAAAATGCAGACAATAACTAATTTTCAATAGTTTCTCATATTATTGGGGTTTTGGGGTTTTGGGGTTTTGGGGTTTTGGGG